GGTTCATAAACTGCATTAGATAGCTACCACCAGACTGAATGAAACACCATACCATACCTGTTTAGAAATTCCTCTCAACCCTCCTATACTGTTGGTGCAGCCATTATGGAAACAGTGGAAATTCTTCAAAAATTTAAAAATAGCGTTGCCATATGATCCAGCAATCCCACTCCTGGGCATATATATATATACCCAGACAAAACTGCAGTTCAAAAAGATACATGCACCCCTATGTTCATAGCAGCACTATTAACAATAGCCAAAATGTGTAAACAATTTAAGTGTCTGCCAACAAACAGAGGAATGGATAAGGAAGATGTGGTACAAATATACAGTGGAAAACTATTCAGCCATGAAAAAAAAGTAAATGGATATTGCATCCATTTGCGACAATATGAATGGACCTAGAGATTTTCACACTAAGTGAAGTAAGTCAGAGAGAGAGAGACAAATATCATATAATATCACTTATATGTGGAATCTAATATATGACCCAGATGAACTGATCTGTGAAACAGAAACACAGACATAGAGGACACTTGGATTCCCAAGGGGGAGAGAATTGGGGGAGGGATCAAGTGGGAGTTTAGGGTTATCAGCTGCATACTAGTGTTACATGATGGATAAGCAATGAGGTCCTACTGCATAAGCACAAGGAACTATATTCAGTACTCTGTGATAAACTATAATGGAAAAGAATATGAAAAAGAATATATATATATAATTACTTTGCTATACAGCAGAAATTAACACAACATTGTAAATCAACTACATTTCAAGAAAAAAATTAAAAATAAAAAGAAACTCCTTCCAAATATAGGAAGCTGGTTTAAAGAAATAATATTAATGTGGATACAAATATTTCCATCAATGATTATATTTTTATATGGTTACTTGCCTCCATTTTCTCAAAAAAGTAAAAAGTGATCAACTAGGTAAGAAACTTAATGGACATAGAGTCTTTTTTTTTTAACCAAGGCATATCTTTAAAACTTATCTGAACCCAAAGGAGGAGTTGTGCAAGAGAAAAATTGTCCCAAATATAGTCCAGGATAGAATTTTTTTCTTTTTGAATGATTTAATTCATAACTTCCTTGTGGAAATAAATTAAAATTTCTGATTAAAAAAATTAGAAATTTTTCTGATAAACTTAAGAGGATTAAGACTTATTCTGGAAACCCTAGTCACTTACCCACACAACTGACATCAGTCAAGAGTTTTAGTGACTTTCTAATTGAACATGGTTTTACATCTAGTCTCACAATGATTATCTAATTACTCACCAAAAGTACCCCTCTAAACTGGGACTACCAGAGGCCTTTCCCCTGACAGCAAGATGGTGATAAAACTTTAACTATAGTCCTAACTAAGCAGTCTCAAGAATTCTTAACTGTATTCTACTTAGTTTCCTGAAAGAATGCTCACCTGCTTGTGAAGGTGAGAACCACAAAATTCAGACAAAGTAACACATGACGCTTATTGACCAAGTTGTTAGACATTTCTCAAACAGATTATTGAGCACCTTTCTTCAAGATGAAACTATTCAGGGTCTGTGCAGAAGAATGATTAAACTTCAAGTACCTCATATAATTAAAATGAAAAGCTGATAGACTTTGGCTTTATTCTACTCTTGGACTTTGATTTAGTCAGAGACTGAAGAAGATATTTGGTTATACTATAACCAGGAGCAAGGGGTCAATGACATAGAAGCAGGGGTCAATGACATAGAAAGTTTCCAGTGTTATAGGTAAGGTAAAAGTGCTGGCTACAGAATGTCCTTCCTTGGAGAAAGCATAAACTTTGTGCCATTGTTTCACACCAGTTTCTGCACAAATTTCCAATACTTTGCAAATGTTCCTGACATACTTCCAGCAAAACCTATGTCTGTTGAAAAAGCATTTACTCACTGAGATGATTTTATTTCAGTGTAATGGTGGCTTCCCTTTGGATACCAATCTTCTTTCTCAATCACCCTATTGCAGATGGAGGCATCGGGTCAGTGATTAAGCACCAATAGTTTTGGACATTTAATTGCTGTGTATTTTCAGAAAATCTCCTCACAAATTCTACTACGTGTTTCCCTCCTCTGAGTTTAATATAAAAATTGGCCCTTAGAAGAAATATTGGTTCCAATTGTACCATAATTTAACCTCTCCCTTGTTCTTGGACATTTAGATTTTTTAAAAACCTCTTTAAACTATGTTGTGGTAGACATCTTTGTACATGTATCTCTGCTGCATTATCTTGTGTATTATCATGTCCCTCTGGATTTCACTTCATTTTTCTGTGACGTTTACTGAGAAGAGAAAGTACTGCTTTGGGAGACTTGGAAAAATTATTGTTTTAATGATTAAATTGGCTTCTGAGTGTAAGCGATGTTTGTGAAAATGAAAGAAAGAACGAACAGCTAGTCAAGGGCGTGACCATCTCTTTTGGCTTCAGCTGATAAGGAGTGGCTCGCCCCAAAGAACAGAACAGTCTGATCTGAAAATATAGAGCAGTCTCCACCACCTTGAAGCCTTTGATGGCTTGGCAAGCATCACATCTTTATGTGGGGAGGAAGGAGGCTGAGAAGCAGAAAGACGGTCACCCCTAAGTCCCTGGAGCTCAGGAGAGGACCCTACCTGGCACTTTAATCCTGGGCGCATATTGGAGTGCCCCAAACTGAGGGATCAGGACCCTGGACAGCTCAGTTGGCGTTGCCCTACCTTCACTACCCTCGTCCTTGGGCAAAAGGTTCCCCTCTTCACATTGGGTTTTACCTGTTTATTTATTAAGCAGAAAAGCTAACTGGTTATCCCCAGGTAAAAAACCTCCTGAATTTAAAGGGCCTGGGCTTTGTCATGGTAATAATGTCTAAAATACCTTTCCTTTTTACTCCTCTTTGAAGTTTATATGGTTTGATAAGAAAAAGAAGCCCAAGGTCCAAGGACGTATGACTGGTCATAGTAAAAATGAACTGGACTAATACTAAGTTCTTCTGATGCCATTGCATTCACTAATTAAGCAGTTACTGAGCATAAATAACGTATGTGTTAGTTACAGTATAGACTAAGATTCTGTAACAAAGAGATTTCAAACTCAGTGCCTCAAATCATACCAAAGCATGCCTCTCTCACACATAACACTCCAGAGGTGGACAACGGATCCAGGGCAGGTGGGCTGCCCTTTTCCATGAGGTCATGCAGGGACCCGGGTCCTTCTAACTTGCTGTCTGGGTCCACAGACATTTCCTGTAAAGATCCAAATAGTGAATATTTTAGGCTTTGCAGGCTGTGCAATCTTTGTCACAGCTGCCCAATTCTGCTAATGTAATGCAAAAGCATCCCTGTTGTTGTTTAGTCACTTGGTCGTGTCCAACTCTTTGGCAACCCCATGGACTGTAGCCCGCCAGGCTCCTCCTCCCTCCATGGGATTCTCCAGGCAAGAATACTGGAGTGGGTTGCCGTTTCCTTCTCCAGGGGATCTTCCCGACCCACAGATCGAACCTAAGTCCCCTGCATTGCAGGTGGATTCTTTACCACTGAGCCACCTGAGAAGCCCAAAAGCAGCCATAGGCATTACCTAGGCAAGCGAGAATGGCCATGTTCCAATGAAACTGCATTTACAGAAGCAGGTTAGGCTTGGCCCATGGGTTGTAATTTAATGACTCTTGCCTTTAGATGTTCTTTCCACCATCATATTCGTGTTCCAGACAGAGAAAGGAAGTGGATCGGTTGAAATTTCTCTTATAAAAACAAAATCCATAGGCTAGCCACATAGTCATACAATGGACTATTCTGAAAATAAGAATAAATGAACCACAACTACACACAACATGGATGAATACCACAATATAATGTTAAGCAAAAGAAGCCAGACACAAAAGATTACATATTGATCGATTCCATTTATGGAAAATATAAAAACAGGCAAGCTAACATATGCTATTAAAAGTCAAGATAGTGGTTGCCTTTGATGGGGTGGGGTCAGGAAGCAGAAGTGGACACAAGAAGGCTTCTAGCTTCTGACGATATTCTGATCTGGAGGATGTAAGTTCCCACACGTAGGTATGTTCACACGTGAAAACCCACTAAACCGCAGCTTAATATTTATTTACCTTTCTGTGTATAGGTTACACACCAATTAGAAGGTTTACATAAGTTGCAAAAAAAGAAAAAGAGTAATTCAAAAGTACTACACTACTGTCTCTCATCTCTTGTCCAAAACCAAATCAAAGGAGCACCCCAAACTGCAAGGCATCTAGGAAATGTGGTCTCTAGCTGGGTAGGCCATATGACTCTAAAATTCAGAGGGCTCTTTTATGAAAAGGAAGAAGGTAAGAATGTATTCTAGAGACAGTTAGAAGGCTCTGTTACAGTCTGTGCAGCCATCAGTGGTCCATGGCAGTTATCAAGTCCCACTGGGCATGACCCGTGAGGTTCCCCTGGCAATAAAGTTCCCTGGTTAGCCTGCTATGGGAATGCCATCATCGTCTGTAATTCTCTGCATTGTCTGGATTTACTCTCTGTCAGGTTGTTTGTCCATGATACTTGATAGCCACATTTTTTAATTGTCTTTTTTCCCTTTTTCTTTTTCTCCTCAGAACTTGAACATCATAGCAAGGGCTGAATCAGCCATGAGGGAAATCTCAGAAATCTAAGCGCTGATTTCCTTGAGCTTTTGAGCAGTTAAATTAGTAATTGCCTACCTCTCAAATTCTATATGAAAAAATAAGCCCTTATGTATTTAAACCATTGAAATTGGGTCTTTGTTACCCGGAGCCAATCACAATTCTTAACTGATATAAAAGCTTCCCTGACAAGATAATGTTTAAGCTGAGACTAGACAGAATATGAGGTGGCAGATAGGGTAGCAGGGGAAAGTTCCAAGCCCTTTCTACTGCCTTCTACCACTAATTGCCGTCTTCCAGGAATAACCTGCCATCTCCCTGGAATAACCACCATCTTCCAGGCAGAGAGACTAGGGGCTGGAGAGGTCAGGAGAGTTCAAGGTTAAGATTAATTTGCCCAGAGGCGACATTTGACGCTATGCGGAAGGGAGGGCTTGGTGATGAACTCACATCTCTGTGTGTATGTTTCCTTCATGGCACTTATCACACAGCAGTCAATTGCATGATCCCTGGTGTGACCACAGGACTGCAGTCTCGATGAGGTCAGGGACAATGCCTGTGATTGTTCATCTGTGCCAGCATAAATCCTGGCACAGAGCAGACATGAATAATAATTATTGGATAAGTTATAGCAGAAAGAACTGAACGAGAGGAGGAAGAAGAGAGACACAGGCAGGAGAGTGGAAAACCTTGGCTGGGGCAGGCACCTCTTGAACCACTGGGACACAATCCCAGTGACACTCCGCCAGGGCAGATTCAGATGACTGTGGTCCAGAGTCACTTTAGGGACCCACACTGGCATGCCTGTCCAGCTCACAGCCTTTCTCTCTTATCTACTCGATGGGCATGAGATTTGAGCCAGCATTCATAGTACTTCACCCTTGACCACAATAACTGATGCAAAAATGTGGGTTTGTGACCCAGACCTGGATAATTAGGGTCCTGTACCAGGAATTGTCAAACTGGAGTTGAGAAAAGAGACTCCTTCCCCCTCCAACTGTGAGGGTGTGAGCCTGGATTTCCCATAGTCTGGTCCAGCTGCCAGGAGGTGGCCAGCCTGTAGGAAAGAGCCTGATATCCAGAGAGAACTGGGAGAGACCTAGAGAGAGAAAGAGCGAAGGATCTTCAGGCTCCTGATTTCAACTATCCCTAACGTCGGCTCCACTCTGCTCTTCCCAATTACACGAGCTAATGAATTCCTTTTAAATTTCTTTTGTGCTTAAGAAAGTTAGAATTGGGGTCCTTTTCTCGAAATCTATGAGCTGCCTTTTTCTCCAAAATACATCCTGTATCTGAGCACTTCTCACGATCTCCACTGCATTAACCTGGTCCAAACCACCACTGTCTCTTGCCTGGATGAATGCAACAGGCTCCCATCTCCTCTCTTGCTCCCTGACAAACCACTGTCCACCCAGCAGGCCAACTGATCCTGGATAAATGTCAGTCCAATGATGTCACCTCCAGTGATTTCTCTCTACATCCATACTCCTTATCCTGTTTTGCGGCATGATCTGCTTCTGTCTGCCCTCCAACTCTTCCATGCCACCTCCCATCATCACCATGCTTCAGCTGCCTTGCCTTTTGTTGTGTGTTTCTCAGACTCGTGAACCTCATTATTTCTTCAGCACCTTTGCACCTGCTGCCCCAGGTTTTTGCATAGTTAATCTTCATCATTCAGTTTTTAGTAAAGTAATACAGTAATCATAGCCCCCCCCCATCTATTTCTGTATCATTTTGCTGTTGAAATTATCCACAGAAATTGTCACTAGTTGAAATTATTTATAATTTACTTACTTTTTTTGTGGACTGTCTGTCCCCTAGAGTTTGAGCTTCAGGAGACTAGAGACCTTGCCTGTCTGGCTTACCTGTGTCCACAGTAGGTGTTTGAGTAATAGTCATTGAATGAATGAGTGATGGAATGAGGAAGAGCTGGAGTTCCATTCAGGGCCTAGGTCCCCACTGCACCTCCTTTTCTCTTTCGTCCAGACCATTGGCCAGCATTAACTCATAGAGGAGCTTGCACCTGTCATGTGGCTTCTTTCAACCTCTTTTGTCATTTGGGAAATGGGAACCCTAATCCTTGCTAAGCCAGCTCCAAGGGTTGTTGGAGATGCAAGGAGCTGGTGGGTAGCAAAGCCCACTGATGATCAGAATTGAATGTGTCTGGCCTGGTGGGGAACATGTTGCTCCTGCCTCCGCACCAAGCCCTTGCTACTCAGGGCTGTTCAACCCGACCTGCTTCCTCCTCTCTGGGTCACCCACACAGCCTCATGTGCCTTGCCTCCCCACCCCCAACCCTCCAAAGGTCTTATTTTATAGCTTCCTGTGAGCATATCACATGAGGCCATGACCCTCGCTGTGAGAAAGCAGAGGCTGTAAAAGGCCAGCCTTGGCTCCCTGCTCTGTGGTTAAATATTGATAACACCAGGAAATAGAGGCCCAGAGTGGGCATACCACACATCCCCCTGCAATGATGGTGCTCCAGACAGAGGGTCCTGGCCAGCCTGTTCCTCTGGGCTGGCAGGAGGGTTTGGATGTTTTCTTGTTAGTTGAGGCCAACAGATAAGAAGGAAAGTATTGGGCTCCTGGTTCTTGCTGACTGTGAAAGTCAGGTGGAGCCTGTTTGCCATCAGCGGCCACTCATTCGAGAGGTCAGTCACCCCCAAGTGACAGAGCAGGCTCCAGGCCTGGGCGTGTGCTAAATGCAGAGCTCCCAGATGGGCCCGGCTGCCACAGGCTCTGGCGCACTGCCCCCCGAGTGACAGCTCTGCAGGAAGCTCAGGTGCAAAGACCAGCTGGTGTCCCCTAAAAGGAGGAGGAGGAAGAGAGAAATCAGTGCTGCTCCCACCAGCAGACCAGACAAGTCCTCGGAACCCGGGATCCAGGGTGAGTGTCTTCAACCTGCCGTGAGATGGGGTGGCGGGTGCCAGGTCTTTGGCAGGAATCATGTCCAAGAGCAGATGGTTAAGCTCTGATTAAAATGCAGGAATCTCATACTGAGTGAAGTAAGTCAGACACAGAAGGAGAAATATCCTATGACATCCCTTATCTGTGGAATCTAAAAAGAAATTATACAAATGAACTTACTTACAAAACAGAAACAGACTCACAGACCTGGGGGAGGGATGGTTAGGGAGTTTGGGATGGAGACTGTGCACACCGCTATATTTAAATGGATAACCAACAAAGACCTACTGTAGAGGGAACTCTGCTCAATGTTATGTGGCAGCCTGGGTGGGAGGGGAGTTCGGGGGAGAGTGGATGCATATATATCTATGGCTCAGTTCCTTCTCTGTTCACCTGAAACCATCAGAACATTGTTAATCAGCTATACTCCAATACAAAATTAAAAGTTCAAAAGAAAAATAAAAAAGAAAAGATAAAAATATAAATAAAGCAGGAATCTTCTTGAGGGGCCTAAGAGAACATGTCAACTAAATGCAATATGATATCCTGGATGGGAACCTGAAGCAGGAAAAAGACAATAACAGAAAAGTGAAATGCAAATAAATCATGATGTGTAGCTAATACTTTTTTTTTTAATTCAGAGATATTACGACTATGCTCTCTGTAGAAGAAAACTGGATAAGTGCTTTGAAGGAAATGTGTCCTTTGCTTCTGTAGCATTAACATAGAGAGGGCCAACGTGTATCCACCTATCATTTTGTTTCATTTGTTGGTATATTTTTTATTATAACAATATTATGCATGTTAAAAACATACATTCCACTGTGGGCATCAGTCCACATGCAAATGTGTACACGTTTCTGATTAGTTCCAGTACCACACTGTCTTGATTACTGGAGTTTTAAAGTGAGTCTGCAAGTTGGGTAGCATCAGTCCTCTAACTTTGTTCTTCTCCTTCAATACTGTGCTGAGTATCTGGGCCTTTTGCTTCTCCTCATAAACCTGAAACTCAGTTTGTCAATATCCATAAAATAACTTGCTGGGATTTTGATTTGGGCTGCCCTGTATCTTTAGATCACATTGGGAAGAACTGACATGTTGATTAGCTCCACTCATTAGACATCCAAAATTGGAATTGTTGTCCGGAAAGGTATAAATACAATAGATACATACTTTTTTATTGAGGTACAGTTGATTTACAATATTATATGCTTCAGGTGTATAACATAGCTATTCAAAATTTTTAAATGTTATACTCTGTTTATAGTTATTATAGACTATTGCCTGTATTCCTTGTGCTGTACAATATATCCTTGTAGCTTATTTATTTGATACATAGTCATCTGTATCTCTAAACCCCCTACCCCTCTCTTGTCCCTCCCCATTCCCTCTTCCCACTGGTAACCACTAGTTTGTTCTCTATATATCTGTGAGTCTGTTTCTTTTCTGTTATATTCACTAGTTTATTTTGTTTTTTAGATTCCATGTATAAGTGATGCCATATAGTATTTGTCTGTCTTTGCCTGACTTATTTCACTTAGCCTAATACCACCAAGTCCATCCATTTTGTTGCAAATGGAAATATTTCATCCTTTTTTATGACTGAGTCCATTGTACAGATGTACCACATCCTTATCCATTTCTCTGTCAACGGACATTTAGGTGGCTTCTATATCTTGGCTATTGTAAATAACGCTACTGTGAACATCGGAGTGAATATATCTTTTGAATTGGTGTTTTCATTTTCTTTGGCTAATATATGCGTACAATAAGATACACACAAATACACAAAATGTGTGTTTAGAATATACATACAAAATATATACATTTAAAAATATAGTTACATGTATTGTTTTCACAAAGTTAGTATGTACTCAGGAGGAATGTATACAGTACAGAAGTGTTCAGAGTGGATGTCCCATGGATCTAGACCCCGAGCCCACTTCCCTAGAGGGAGTTAGTGTTGGCATCTTGATCTCCATGTTCTTTCCTCTGTGGGGGTATGTCGGGGGAGGGGGTGGGTGTTCTGCATATGCAACAGGGGTCTGTGGCCAATATTACTAATTAATCCAGGCATTCCTGCATCTGAGACTAGACAGACGATCACACCCTTAATAAGTGCTCTGGACAAGTTGGAGCTGGAACACAAGATCACATCAATTAGCCATCCCTGTAATTTGTCTTTCCATTATTCAGTATATATATCTCCTTCAAATGAGTAAGTAGGTAGTGGGCATCTGAGTCCTTGAAACTCTTTTTTTTTTAAAAAAACAGTATTTTTCTCTGACTTCCATCTCTGTCTTGGCATGTTAGTAGTGTAATGATGGTTTAGTTGCTAAGTTGTGTCCGAATCTTGTGACCCATGGACTGTAGCCCGCTAGGCTCCTTGGTCCATGGAATTTCCCAGACAAGAATACTGGAGTGGGTTCCCAATTCCTTCTCCAGGGTATCTTCCCAGTTCAGGGATCAGATCTGCATCTCCTGCATTGCAGGCAGATTCTTTACCACAGAGCCACCCAGGAAGCCCTTGGAACATGAATGATGATTCATATATGAAAAACTTGGCTCAGTATTATATTTGTATCAAAATATTTTCCTTCAAAATCTGTAGATGTTTGTTCAGTTTTCTCAGAGCATTTAGAGTTGGAGAAAACTCTGACGTCAGTCTTTTTATTAGTACCTTGTTTTTTTGTTTGGCTGCTTGCCACCCAGTTGTTTTTGGATGTTCCTGGCTGAGCCTGCAAAGGCTATTTTGGATTGGACATCAAGAGAGGGGAGATTTTGAGATGGCCTCTGGCCTCTCTCTGCCTTGTTGTCCTCTTAGCCCTATGACATGTTTTCATGATTGCTTTGTTCAAAGCCCTTTACTTTGCTCTCCATTTCTGTTCCCTTTTCCTCCCCTCTCCCTCCCACGTCCACCCCCGCACCAGAGATAATTATCTCATGTGTTGAATGTGTCTTTTTTAAAATGTGTCTTTGTGAGTTCATGGATTGGAAGAATCAACATTGTCAAAATGGCTATACTACCCAAAGCAATCTATAGATTCAATGCAATCCCTATCAAGCTACCAACGGTATTTTTCACAGAACTAGAACAAATAATTTCACAATTTGTATGGAAATACAAAAAAACCTCGAATAGCCAAAGTAATCTTGAGAAAGAAGAATGGAACTGGAGGAATCAACCTGCCTGACTTCAGACTATACTACAAAGCCACAGTCATCAAGACAGTATGGTACTGGCACAAGAACAGAAATATAGATCAATGGAACAGAATAGAAAGCCCAGAGATAAATCCACGAACCTATGGTCACCTTATCTTCGACAAAGGAGGCAAGGATATACAATGGAAAAAAGACAACCTCTTTAACAAGTGGTGCTGGGAAAACTGGTCAACCACCTGTAAAAGAATGAAACTAGAACACTTTCTAACACCATACACAAAAATAAACTCAAAATGGATTAAAGATCTAAATGTAAGACCAGAAACTATAAAACTCCTAGAGGAGAACATAGGCAAAACACTCTCTGACATAAATCACAGCAGGATCCTCTATGACCCACATCCCAGAATATTAGAAACAAAAGCAAAAATAAACAAATGGGACCTAATGAAACTTAAAAGTTTTTGCACAACAAAGGAAACTATAGGCAAGGAGAAAAGACAGCCCTCAGATTGGGAGAAAATAATAGCAAATGAAGCAACAGACAAAGGATTAATCTCAAAAATAGACAAGCAACTCCTCCAGCTCAACTCCAGAAAAATAAATGACCTAATCAAAAAATGGGCCAAAGAACTAAACAGACATTTCTCCAAGGAAGACATACAAATGGCTAAAAAACACATGAAAAGATGCTCAACATCACTCATTATCAGAGAAATGCAAATCAAAACCACAATGAGGTACCATTACACGCCAGTCAGGATGGCTGCTATCCAAAAGTCTACAAGCAATAAATGCTGGAGAGGGTGTGGAGAAAAGGGAACCCTCTTACACTGTTGGTGGGAATGAAAACTAGTACAGCTGTTATGGAGAACAGTGTGGAGATTTCTTAAAAAACTGGAAATAGAACTGCCATATGACCCACCAATCCCACTTCTGGGCATACACACCGAGGAAACCAGATCTGAAAGAGACACGTGCACCCCAATGTTCATCGCAGCACTGTTTATAATAGCCAGGACATGGAAGCAACCTAGATGCCCATCAGCAGATGAATGGATAAGGAAGCTGTGGTACATATACACCATGGAATATTATTCAGCCATTAAAAAGAATTCATTTGAATCAGTTCTAACGAGATGGATGAAACTGTAGCCCACTATACAGAGTGAAGTAAGCCAGAAAGATAAAGACCATTACAGTATACTATATACATATATATATATATACTATACATATATACTATATATATATAGTATACTATTACATGTATACTATATACATATATATGGAATTTAGAAAGATTGTAACGATAACCCTATATGCAAAACAGAAAAAGAGACACAGATGTATAGAACAGACTTTTGGACTCTGTGGGAGAAGGCGAGGGTGGGATGTTTCAAGAGAACAGCATCGAAACATGTATATTATCTAGGGTGAAACAGATCACCAGCCGAGGTTGGATGCATGAGACAAGTGCTCGGACCTGGTGCACTGGGAAGACCCAGAGGGATCGGGTGGAGAGGGAGGTGGGAGGGGGCATCGGGATGGGGAATACATGTAACTCCATGGCTGATTCATGTCAATGTATGACAAAACCCACTACAATACTGTAAAGTAATTAGCCTCCAACTAATAAAAATAAATGAAAAAATAAATAAATAAAATGTGTCTTTGTAAAATGTGTATTGTTGTTTTGTATGTGTGCATTTTGAATTTTCATAAGTGGTGTTGCATGCTCCCTTATGATCCTTGGGGATACTTTCTTTGGGATATGAATATGCTCAGGGGTAGAATGCTGGGTCATGTGTACACTTGCTTTGACTAATTGCTCTCTAGATGGTTGCCCCAGTCTACACACCCTGGCAGTGCATAAGGCTACAGCCCAAGAACCACACCAACACCTGGCATTATCCACCTTCCAAACTACGCCAGTCTAAGAGATGTCAAGTGGCGTTTCGTTTCATTTTAATTGTCATTCTTCTGATTTCCCAAGAGTTTAAGCACATTTTCATATGCTTGCTAGCCTTTTGAGATTCCTATTTTGTAAACAGCCTGTTTGTATTATCTATTAGGATTCTAGTCTTTTTCCTATTAATTTGTTAGAATTCTTTGTACATTTTAGATATCAGTTTCTTCTGGGTTTTAAGCATCACAAGTATCTTATCCCAATCAGAAATGTGTTTACTACTGTATTGACAGTATTTTCATTGAACAGATCATCTTATTTTGATATAATCACATTCAACAGTTTTCTGTTGTTATTCAATGATTTAAGCTTGTAAGGTTTTAAAAAGTGCTACCCTACTTCTATTAACTTTGCACTTTTCCTCGTGCATTTAGGCCTCTAACATTGGAGTCTGTTTTTGTGTATGTTGTTTGTTAGATGTGCATGTGCATGATGTGCGCTCAGTCGTGTCCGACTCTTTGTGACCCCATGGACTGTAGCCCACCAGGTTCCTCTGTCCGTGGATTTCCCAGGCAAGAATACTAGCAGGGGTTGCCATTTACACCCCCAGGGGATCTTCCCAACCCAGGAATTGAACCTGCATCTCCTGCATGGGCAGGTGGATTCGAGCCACCTGGGAAACCCCTAGATGTGCAACTGGTCTTCCATTTCTCCATAGAGTGAGCCAGTTTTCCTGACACCATCCACTAAACAATTCCTCCTTTCCCTACTGGTCAGCAGAGCTATCCTTACCTTAGAAATATCAAGTTTCTACATGAATATAGGCCTCTATGAAATCTCCGTTCCCATGCCTTGGTATAATGACTTGGTTTTATGTCAAAACCACATTTTTTATTATAATACATCTCAACATCTGATGGGACCAGTCTCCCCTCTTAGTCTTTTTTTCGATGTTTATGTGCTCAGTCCTATCTGACTCTGCAGTTTACTTTGTCTATATAAGTACTAGAATAAGTGTATCAAGGTCCTCAAAAAACTTCCAGTTAGAATTTTGGCTGAGATTGCATTGAATTTATAGATTTATTTGGGGATAACTGATATCTTAGTAAGTTTATCCTGTCTGAAAACATAAACCTCTATTTATTCAGATCATTTATTAGTAGTATCTTGTTCTAGAGTTTAAAAATGTTCTTCAGGGGACTTCCCTGGTCCAGGAGTTAAGAACTCCATGCTTCCACTGCAGGGGGCACAGGTTCAATCTCTGTTTGGGTAACTAAGATCCTACATGCCCTGCAGCACAGCACCCCCCCCCCAAAAAGAATTCTTCATATGCTACTGTCCTACTATGGGATGCTGCTACTGTGCTACTGTTGGATGCTGGGATGCTACTGTGAATGATCTTATTTTTATTTAATTTTCCAGTTTCACTGATAATGGGAGGAATACTATTTCGAGCTTGTATACAGCAACTTCAGTGAATGCGTGTATTAGTTCTATTGTTTATTTTTCTAGGCATTAATAGATGATCTTGTCATCTGAAAATTATGAGTTTTAACTCTTTCTTATCAAGTCTTACACTTCCTTTTCTTTCCTTATAACACTTGCTAAGACCTCTAGGATTATATTAAACTGTAATGGTCCGAATTTAACCAGCAGCTACCTTTGGCACTTCACCATTCTCCACTCTGGGTCCTGGGCATATTGATATCCAGGAGAGAGACTGTGATAGGCCCAGCCTTCGTCACGTGGGGGAGACAGGCACCTGTGATTGGCCAGCACAGGAAAATCCGCTGCTAAGGAAACTTGGTGAAGGAGTGGGGTGGACTGCAGAAGCTGGAGGGGATGCTGGGCAGGCAAGAACTGGAGAGACCCTGCAAGGGCTGGTCCCACAGCCCATCAGGGGCTTAATCCTCCCCACACCGGCGTCACTGCTCCTCCCCACGTGTAATGAGTTTTAACAAAGATTTGAGTGGCTCCCACTTCTCTGGTCTCTGCTCAGGCCCCACCTGCTCCGAAAGATCCAGCTATTTCAGTCCTATAACTTTGGGCCCAGGGAGGGGCAGGGTTTGGGCCCAGGGTTTGGGCAGGGAGGGAAGAGTAAGCTGGTGTAGGATATCCATTCATGCTCTGTTCTTCGTTTCCAGGAGTCTTCAGGCCTTTGCCAAGGGTCATAACCTTAGTAGGCCAGGAGAGCAGCTGGGGGCGAAGGGGTCTGAGAACTTCCTTGTCAGAAACATATCCCAACCAGGAGCAGGGGCATGAACTACAGTGAGGAGCTAACCGGAGCCCCACCCATCACCGAGGTGCCTCAGGAGCTGCTGGAAGAAATGCTTTGGTTTTTCCGAGTAGAAGATGGTGAGTGGTGGGGATGGGTGGTGGGGGTGCGCTCTCCTGGCTGAAGCCCCCATCATGGTCCCCTCCTCCATGGCAGGCTGCACGTTTCCTCCAGGGCAAGAACTGAGGCTGAGGGTCTCACTACCCAGAGGCGCCTGGCTAAACTGCATCTCCTTTCCTCAGGGCCACTCATCCATGCTGTCATTCACAAATATTTATTAAGTTATTTCTGTGCACGAGGGACTCTTCTCAGCATGGGGGTTATAGAAGTGGAAACACACAAAAATCTCTGCCCTCATAGAGCATTCCTTCTAGTGAAAGAGAAAAAGCAACAAATGACTAAAATGCATAGCATGCTGGTGAAATGAGTAATAAGGAGAAAATTTAAGCCAAGAAAGGAATAGGAAATGTGCAGGGAATGTAATGTGGTCAAGGAAGGACTGGCTCAGAAGCTGATGTTTAAATAAAGGCTTGCGGGAGGTGACAGAATTAGCCATGCAGATTATGTGGGGGAAAGGCATTCCTGGTAGAGGGAACAGTAGATGCAAAAGCTCTGAAGCTAGATGCTGCCTTATCTGGATACAGTATGGACAGATCCTGATTATCCAAACTCAGATTAGCTACTTTATGTATTATCTACAGGCAGCTTGTCAAATCTAATTTAACTGCCACCCTTTCTTCCCTCCCTTCCTCACTTCTTTCCTCCCTCCCTCGCTTCCTTCTTCCCTTCCTCCCTCCCTCCCTACCTGTTTCCCTGGTACTGCACTTGGCCAGCCCCTAGCAAAACTCTGAAGATGGTGAAGTTTATCTTCACTACACACCTCCTTTCCCCACTATTATTATCCCACTGCAGTGCTGTCTCCCCCAGGTAGATGACAACTTCTTTGGAGCAGAGATCTCTTCTCCCCCTGTCCCCTACTTTGGACCAGGAGTTCCCCGGCTCATCTTCAGCTTGGTTAGTCTCTCTTTACAATGTGTGGCCCACAGCAGGGGGAAGCTGATGCTGTGAGTTGGTCTGTTAGGGGCCTGAGGGGCACCCGGCCTGTCCTCAAGGCTCCATCCTGTGTGTCCCTCCCCAGCAACTCCTTGGAATAGTTCCATGTTCGTCCTGGCGGCCTTGGTGGTCATGATAAGCTTCATCCTCTTGGGAAGGAACATCCAGGCAAACAGGTGAGGAGCTGGTCTAGGGGTGGTCTCTGGAGGGTGGGGAAATCTAGAGAGGGGTCATCTAGAGACCTCGGCTGTCCACCCTTTATGTCAGCAAAATGCAGCCTGCATGGTTTTGTTTGAGGACCCAAAGCTGCCAAAAAACTAGCAGCTGTCCCCGATGACCATTCCAGCAAGCAGGGCGGGGGCTGGTGCATCTCAGAAATCAGGATCACTGGCTCTGGAGTCATACAGATTCCAGTTCTGGGTTCAGATCCCAGTTCTGCCACTCACTAGCTGGGCAAGACACTCAGTACCTCCAGGCTGGCTTCTCCCTCTATAAATGGCAACTGTGATGGATTCTTTCCTCCTAGGATTGTGGGGAGTGCTCAGTGAGGGCTTTTGCAGAATTAGGGATGTGGTTAAATGGGAAAACCTGTGCTACTCCAAGGCCAAAAGCACGGCATGGATAGAGACCTGAGATCATTTGGGCTCCTGGGTAATTCTGACATTTTTATAACAACAATTCTCCTTAACCCTGGATGAACAAACAAATGACCTGCGTAAGGATGTTAAACACAGGTATCTGTGCCTCACCTTAGAGATTCCGATGCAGAGGGTCTGCGGGGGAGGGGACCTGGGCCCTGGCATTTTGTTAAACTCTCTGGATGAGTCCAGGACTAACTTTTGAAAGCTCCTTGAGGGTGGGAACTACATTTGACTCAACTTTGCTTCCCCAAGCAACTGGTACAGTGTCAGATTCTGGAAGTTATTCAACAAATACTTGGTTCACTCATTCCCATTCATTCATTCAATAATTACTATATCCTAGTAACTAGCAGTAACTTTTAAACAGTAATACTGAGAATCCCTCCTCAGATCTGTATCATGGTTTGCACATGGTTTTGAAGGCACTTTCACTTTCTCTCACTTGATCAAACAGGCCCGGTACGGTGGGGCTGGCACAAGTTACTTACTCCCACTGTACAGAATAAGGTCACTGAGGATCCATGGAAGGGTTGGCCTAACCCCCAAGCTCTTCTTCCTGTGCTATATTTTATGTCATCTATGAATCGTCCTCATAGTTCTGCTATAAAGCCAGAAAGAAATAACTCAGTGCCCTTCGTTCACATCCGTAACTAGTCGTGACGAACTGCTACAGCTGTCATCATTCATGCCACAGAATAAGCCGAGCGCTGCTCTGCGCCAGGCTCTGAATGGGGACCACAGGGCTGGACAAGATAGACTCAGCCCCGCTCATGGAGCTGACCCCGTTTGGTGGGGAGACAACTGTAGTTGAGAATGACAGGTGATGACTGTGGGATATATAGAGGTGGGATCTAGGGCCTTGAGGGCAAAAAAGAGAGGGAGGCTGGGCTGACCAAGGGACAGCACGCCCCAAGCTCAAGGGAGGAGCAGGAGGGCCCCTGAGGCCGTGGTGTGGACGGTGGGGGCGGGAGGAAAGGGAGGTCAAGAGGCAACAGAGCATCCGAAGGAGTTTTCGGGTTCTAGTCATGGGCACTGGGGAGCCAGAGAAGAGCTTTGCAAAGGACGGGAAAGGTTTATGTTTTAGCAAGATCAGCCTGCTAGAAGGACCCAGAGGGGTAGTGCCTCTGAGAAGGTGACTTTTCCTCTCTCAGCCTGTCAGGAAGCATCCACCTCGGCAAAGTCACCTCGCAGACAAGGAAGCTGTCCTCAGGAGCAGCAGACAGTCAGGTGTCCCCTTATGACCCAGACAGATTGTCTGGGCAGTCAGCTCAAACCCTGGCAGGGTCCCTCCACTATTGCTAGGAGATCTAGGGGTGGGGACTTGGAGTAGAACCACCTCGGAGGGAAGACGTTTGGGTGTTACTGGTAGGAAGGCTGGATCTTGGATGCCAGGTTCCAGAAGTGGGCAGTGGGGAGCCAGTGAAGGTATTTGAGCTGAGGACTCTGGAATCATGGCCGCTATGTGCAGGCCGGTTTGGAGACATAAGCACCTAGAGGCAGGATTAGGTAGGAATTTCCTGCTACGATCTGTCTAGGGATGGAGTGGAGTAAGGGTGGGGATGGGGTAATAAGGACTACACTAAGCAGGATGAAAGTGTAGCTCGGTGAAAAGAACACAGGACTCGGAGTCAGGAGAGAAATGCATGACCCAGGCACATGCTCCTCAGGCCCCTCTGAGCCGTGTTATGTCACTTGCAAGAGGACCAACAGTAGCTGAGCTCACAGGCGGCACTGGGGGTTTGGTAAGATGATGCATGGAGAAGTCTAAGATGTTTCTCTGCCAAAAACCCATCAAACCATCTCAGCTTTCTCCCCAGACTGTTCCAGAACTGTGCACTGGATTTACCCCCTCAAACTTGCTAACCCACTTGGGAGCCCCAGTCACTGCTCCAACTACTTGGTACCCCCACACAGGGAACCCACATTCAATAGTATTTTCTCTCTTCCCAGAAATCAGAAGAAGCTGCCACCAGAAAAACAAACTCCTGAAGCCCTGTACTTGGCTGAGGGTGGAAACAAAGATGACAACAACCTGACCGTCCTAACAGAGACTTTGCTCTCTGAAAAGCCAACTTTGGCCCCGGGAGAAATGGATGCAAAATGCAGGGATGTGCCACTGGTCCGTCTTCCAGACCCACAAGAATCTGAAAGCTAGTCAGGGTGCAGGGCAGTGCCCCCAGAGTGTCAGCAGACAGAGTGAATGAACTGCAATCAAACTAAAACCCTGTTTTGAAAAAAACGAACAAAATCTTTTTATTAAAATGCTTCTGGATGTGGGCAGTTGGAATTGCAGTTTGTTCAAATGGCAGTGGGCCATAAGTGGCTTGGAGTGAAAGTGCGAAATCCAGAGCCAGCCTGTGGGTCAGGAAGCCTGGTCAGACTCCTCACGTGGTCTTGAGGAGTTCCCAGCCTCCCTCTGACCTCGGCTTCTCCATCTGTAGAATGTGGCTGAAACCTGGGCTGGAGCTCTTGTTTTCAATCCAAGCTCCTGGAAGGGCTGACTAAGGAAGGGTCAAGGTTCTGGGCTCAGAATTCCTTTCCCCTCCCTTCTCTCCGTCTGATCCACCAGGGAAGCCCTGGACAGAGGAGCCTGGTGGGCTACAGTCCACACAATCCCACAGAGTCGGGCACGACTGAAGTGACTTTGCATATATATACTCCCTTCTCTCCACTGCAGCCCTCTCCTTTACCAGCTGATCTGCCAAAGGTCCATGAAAGACTTCCTTTGGGCCGGGGCCCAGCAGTAAACAGAGCTAGAAAACCATGAAACCCCCTGCCTCTACTAACCCCCTGCCTTTCTCTTACTAACCATGGGATCCCAGAGGAGTGTCTTGATCCCATGTGTGAGCCACCGTGTTGCAGCAGAAGCTGGGGTGTCAACCCCAAATAATTTATGCAAAATTTATGAACCCAAAATGCTGTAGGTTCTATCTTACAAAGGGGACTTTGAACACACAAACCCGTTACCAAAGGTCCGAGGTCCTGCCGTCCCAGACTGGAGACAGGATGCGCAGAACACCGTTTCTCCTTACTGGATGCCTGGTACACCCAGTGTGGGCTCCCTGGAGTTTTGGGTGATTGTCATTGGAGAGGACAACTTTATTCTGCAGTTTTGATCAGTCAGCTTGAGAAGGCTGGTCCTGAGGGTCTGTGGACAGAGTCCTTGACTTAAGGTTGGAAAATACAGGGGCCCTGCCTCCCGGTGAAACACCCCGGAGGCTCCCTGCACTGGCCCGCCTGCAGCGCTTCCCCTCCACCTTCACTGAGAGGCAAAGCACTGGAAATAGCCCTTCCCCAGACACCTTTGCTTCTCACAGGCTGAGAAGGACTCCTCAACTAGATTTTACTTGAATAAACTGTGGGGTTTGTGGCCTGGGGGCGTTCTGCGAGGTCAGAAGACAAGGGGAGGGTCAGGTTCCAGCCCCCCAAAACCTGCCCCTGCCCGTCCACCAGGAGGTGCTGGGACTTCAGGGTGGGCTGCTCTCCAGCCTCATGAAGGCCTCATGAAGCTGTCCACCCAGAGCCGTCCCCTAGGGGCCGCCACATCAGGCCAGGCTGCAGCTGGAGCAGGAAAGGGGGTGATGGCACCATGGTGGCTATTGCAATTTTCTTCCATTTCCGGCTGACCCCAGGTCTCCACGTTGTCACAGTGGCGTTTCCTTCAGGGTGAGGCATACAGTGGTTACCATGGAAACTAAGGCCTGGAGGGAACAGGAGCAGCATTCCTGTCTGTCCCTACGGCTCCTACAGTGATCTGGGTGTCAGGGACACTGTCCGGTGCTGAAGGAGAGGTCAGCTGTCCGCTGGACGGTGAGGGCTACTATTCCATCAGAAGGAAAGCCAGTGGTGAAAAGCCAGCCCCTGCCCGGCAGACTGCCCAGTGCCGAGCTTGGGATCCTGAGCAGGGGCCCTCAGAAGATCTTGAAGCCCTTCAATAGCGTCAGGGTGGGTGCCTTGCGCTTGCTCTGAGCCCGGGATGACTTCACAGTGACCAGCTTGGCCTGTGCCACAGCAGGCATCTCCTTCAGGCTTGCGGTAGAAAGTGTGTTGAAGGTGCAGCTGGCCAGCCCATGGCGAGCCGTGAGTGGGGCCTGGTGATGCACAGCTCTCTCCTCCGAGATGAAGAGAGGCCTGGCCAGGGAGTTCTTCTCCAGCTCCCGCCGTGCCTCCCGTACCGCCTCGTGGAAGACATGCTGCACATGCTCGAAGTCCAGGCAGGCAGAGACCTCGAAAAACAGGCACCCGAACCTGCCTGCCAAGGCGGCGCCCTCTGCCTGGGTGACCTGCCTGGCGAGGAAGCAGGGGGAGTCAGGGTTAGGAGCATCCGAGTCAGGCAGGCCCGGCCCTACTCCCCGCTCCTCGCTTACCAGCTCCATGACCTGGAGCCATCTTCATCTCTCTGAGGCTCAGCTTTACTCATCAGTAAAACGGGAGAATGACAGCTGCCTCTCAGGGTTGTTAAGAAGATTAAGAAAGACGATTGTGTCAAGGGCCTAGCACAGGGCTTGCTCGGTGAATGGCAGCTGATGTCACCTAAGCCAGAATGTCAGAATGAGGCTGAGGGGAAGGGAGAAGCTGGCCCAAAGTCCCTGCCTAGACCCTGCCCATGGCCAGAGGAAGATGGTCGCTCTCAGCCCCATATCTCCTGACCAAGGAAATGAGCCACCCTCAGCCCTGGCGTGTGGATTAAGCTCTGGAGAGAGGCGGTGGTTTGGTCAGAAGGATGTGAGACCACAGTGTCTACAGAGGCCTGGTGGGCTATGGTCATGACTCAGGACACCTGTGGTCAGCAGAGCTCTCAGAGCTCATGGGAACTTTTGTCTGCCTGCCCAGAGAGAGCAAGGGTGTCAACACAAGAGAGGCAGCAGCACCTATTCCCAGTTTATCCTGTACCACCTCCCATGATGGTGGGATCACGCATTTGTAACCCCTCTCATGACAGTGGGATCAAGTATTTGCAACCATCTCTCATGAACTGTATAAAAGGCCAAAAAATTATGATACCACAAGATGAGCCCCTCAGGTCTGAAAGTGTCCAATATGCTACTGGGGAAGAGTGGAAAAGAATTACCAATATCCCCAGAAGGAATGAAGCGACTGAGACAAAGCAGATATGACCCTCAGTTGTGGATATGTCTGGTGATGAAAGTAAAATCTGATGCTGCAAAGAACAGTATTGTATAGGAACCTGGAATGTTAGTTAGGTCCGTGAATCATGGAAAATTGGACGTGGTCAAGCAGGAGATGGTAAGAATAGACATTTACATCCTAGGAATCAGCAAACTAAAATGGATGGGAATGGGCGAATTCATATAACCATTGTATCTACTACTGTTGGCAAGAATCCTATAAAAGAAATGGAGAAGCCCTCATAATCAACAAGAGTCTGAAATACAGTACTTGGGTGCAATCTCAAAAATGACAAATGATCTCAGTTCATTTCAAGACAAGCCATTCAACACCACAATAATCCAAGTCTATGCCCCTACCACTGATGCTGGAGAAGATGAAGTCGATCATTTCTATGAAGACCTAGAAGACCTCCTCGAACTAACACCTGAAAAATATGTTCTATTCATCATCACTGATTGGAATGCAAAACTGGGTAGTCAAGATATACCTGGAGTGACAGGCAAGTTTGGCCTTGGAGAACAAAATGAAGCAGGGCAAAGACTAACTGAATTCTGCCGAGAGAATGCATCAGTCATAGCAAATACTTTTTCAACAACACAAGAGATGACTTTACACATGGACATCACCAAATGGTCAATATGAAAATCAAATTAATTACATTCTTTGTAGCCAAAGATGGAGAAGCTGTATACAGTCAGTGAAAAACAAGACCTGGAGCTAACTGTGGCTCAGATCACCAGCTTCTTATAGCAAACTTCAGGCTTAAACTAAAGAAAACTGGGAAAAACACTAGGCCAGCCAGATATGACTTAAATCAAATCCTGTATGAATTCACAGTAGAGGTAACGAATAGATTCAAGGGACTAGATCTAGATAACAGTGTGCCTGAAGAACTATGGACAGAGGTCTGTAATATTGTACAGGAGGCAGTGAACAAAACCACCCCAAAGAAAAAGAAAAACAAGAAGGCAGAGTGATTATCTGAGGAGGCTTTAGGAATAACAGAAGAACAAAGAGAAGCAGAAAGCAAGGGAGAGAGCTACATCCAATTAAACTCAGAATTTCAAAGAATAGGTAGAAGAGACAAGAAGGCCTTCTTCAATGAACAGTGTTTAACAATAGAAGAAAACAACAAAAGGGGAAAGACTAGAGATCTCTACAGGAAAATTGGAAACATCAGGGGAGTTTTCCGCCCAAAGAATCAAGATAGAAGAGGGAAACATCAAAACCTCAGATTCACAGATGATACCACTCTAGTGGCAGAAAGCGAAGCGGAACTAAAGAGCCTCTTGGTGAGGGTGAAGGAGGAGAGTGAAAGAGCCGGCTTAGGATTAGTATTAAAAACACTAAGATCATAGCATCCGCCCCCATTACTGCATGGCAAATAGAAGGGAAAAGGGGAAAGTAATGACAGATTTCCTCTTCTTGGGCTCCAAAATCACTGTGGACAGTGACTGCAGCCATGAAATCAGAAGATGACTGCTTCTTGGCAGGAAAGCGATGACAAGTCTAGACAGTATGTTGAAAAGCAGAGACATTACTCTGCCAACAAAGGTCCGTATAGGTCCTTTATCAAGGCTATGGTCTTCCCATTGGTCACATACAGTTGTGAGAGCTGGACCGTAAAGAAAGAAGAACACCAAAGAATTGATGCCTTCAAACTGTGGGGCTGGAGAAGACTCCTGAAAGTCCCGTGGACAGCAAGGAGATTAAACCAGCCAATCTTAACGGAAATCAACCCTGAATATTCACTGGAAAGACTGATGCTGAAGCTCCAGTATTTTGGTCATCTGCTGTGAACAGACAACTCACTGGAAAAGTCCCTGATGCTGGGAAAGAATGAGGGCAGGAGAAGAAAGTTTCAGAGGATGAGATGGCTGGACGGCATCCCCAATGCAATGAACATGAACTTGGGCAAACTCCAGGAGATGGTGATGGACGGGGAGGCCTGGCATGCTGCAGTTCATGGGGTCTCAAAGAGTCAGACATGAGTAAATGACTGAACAACAACTCATAATGGTG